TGAGGTTGGACACTTTTTTAGATTAAAAAACATTAATTTCACTGCAAGACAGGACTTTTAGAAAAATTAAAATGAAACAGGGTTTAACTTTAATTATTGGTCTGCTGCCTTCATACATCTCCTACATGTCTCTGCGTGAGTGCAGTTACAGCGTGCGCTCTCAGGACATTATTACCTGCAGTGTTCCCTCAGTGAGGACTGAACTTGGCAAAAGGACCTTCTCCTATTCCGCTCCTGTTTCCTGGAATATCTTACAAAAAGATCTGAAGCTCTCGAACTTGACCTCTCTAAGTGTCTTTAAGAATCTGTTGGACTCCTGGCAGGGACCAATGCAGACATGTTCCTGTTTTTAGTTTTCTACATTCGCCTTAGAATCCAGCTGTTTTTTTTGTTACTTTTTTTATAGCCATCTTATTTGTAAAAAAAAAATAAAAAAAAAATCTGTATGCCTTTTTATATTTGTCTATTGTTGTCGCTGTTGTCCATTGTTTTCATCACTCTTTGTTGAAATCAGGTCTCTTTTGTAAATGAGTCCTCGGGGCTCAATGGGATTTACCTGTCTAAATAAAGGTTGAATGAAACTTGCTTTTTTTTTTAAATAAAGTAGTTATTTTACCTGTGTACAACAGTACAGGTCTTTTTTGTTAGTGTCTTTGCCAGATCTTTTTAATAAATGAGTTTTGTCCATTTATTTTTTGGTAAAGCTTTCAATCAGAACCCACATTTCAAGCACCACGAAAGAAAAGCCTTATTTACACGACAACACTTTGATCAGAGATGGAGTTACCTCATGAGACAATCAAAAAGGTTTGCACACCTCTAATTTTTAAAATAACAACAGAATGTCACACAATTTCATTTTTATAGTTAGTGATCTTTAAAAGAAATAGTGAACAGGAACCAGCTCTGATCTACATAAACTAAAAGGACAAGCAGTTCATTTTCTACTCCCTGTCAGAGTATGGCGTCTCATTTACTCTCTCGAGTTTTGGCATAATGCCGCCATATCAGAAGTACACCCAGCTCCCTCATCCATGAACTCAGGAGGAGAAAAAGACTGAAAGAGTCAATCAGGGATTCAGAATCAGAGAGCCTTGAACAACCTGTATGTAACATTTGTCTTGTGTTGACAACTTGGACTTAATGATGAAAAAATCCTTCATACACATCCACTGACTAAAGTTTATGACTGTTACTGTGGCTTATACAGTATATCAGTGAACAAGATGGTTATTTTTATTTAAAGCATTTTTACAAGACAAATGTTAGAGCCTGAAGATGTGAAGCCAGATTCACATTCATACATCCTCAGACTGTTAGAACATGAGGAGAGAATGAAGAGTTGAGGGGGCAAATAACAAAGAAAGAATGGGTATTGTTTGTAGGATAGATCAAAGAGTTGTCATGCTGGGAAACCCATACACCACCAGAACCACCAGATGGTCCCATTTCCACCTGAAAGAGACCATGTAGATGGTCCAACTCAGACTTACTCGTCCCTTTTTGCAGTGCGGTCGGGGGCGCACCGGGAACACCGTCTTTGAGATTTAAAGAAAAGCAGCGAAGTCAGATGAGTTCGGCTGATCACTTGAGCCATAATAAAAATAGTAGGCTGCTAATCTGCTTATAGTGCTAAATACTAAAAACGTATGTCCATACACCATGTTGTTTGAAACAAAATTAACAAATGTATAATAATGGTGGCACTAAGAGCTCATCCACTTACTCTATACAGTACTTTTAATATGCAGTAAAAGCATACAAATTTCCCATTGGTAAAATGATTTGCAAAACTGTGTACATAAAAAGGTTATAAGAACTATTTAAGTTGTTGGCATTTTTTTTTTTAAACCCAGCAGATATTGTGTGAATAAGGTGGAGTCAGGTCCTCTAGACAGGATCTTCTTTGTTGAAACATTTCGTCTTTTATCGAAAAAACTTTTTCAGTCTGAGAAGCTGCAACAAACACAGTCTTATAAATGGCACCTTGCCACCTTCTCATAAAAGATCAACCAGTTTTCTGGTGAGAGCAAAAACTAGTTGTTCACATGATAAAGGAGGATCATAAGCCTAACAACTGATTGTTAGACCCCTGATGGGCACTTACTATTCACTGAGGGCTGAGTGATACTAGCAATAACAGCATTGTAAGAAGGTGACAGTTGAACACGGAGGCCTCCGCCCCTGTTTAACAATGGACGGGTTCTCTTCACAAAGTTGGCTTCTTTTTCTCTTCTCTCAAACCAACATTCCTCTTTATCAAGGAAGTTAACATCTTCATCCCTGAAAGAGTGACCGCTGGCCTGGAGATGAGTGTAGACCACAGAGTCCTGGCCTGATGATGTTGATCTTCTGTGCTGGGCCATCCTTTTGGCCAGTGGCTGTTTTGTTTCCCGGATGTAAGACTGATCACAGCCCTCCTGACACTGAACAGCATACACAACATTGCTCTGTTTGTGCCAGGGGACTGGATCTTTGGGATGAACCAGTCTTTGCCGTAATGTATTTTGGGGTTTGAAAGCCACTGGGACGTTGTGTTTAGAAAATAAATGTCTCCGTTTCTCTGAAACTACTGCAACATACTGAATGACCACTGGTCTGGGTCTGGGTTCCTCCTTTTCACTTGATGGCTGGCTGGAACCCTGTCTGGGTTTCTTCCTTGTTTTCAGGAAGGCCCAGTTAGGATATCCACATTGTTCCAGGGCCTGTCTTGTGTGGGATTACTCCTTCTGCCTGGCTCCTGAGTTAGTGGGGACGCTGTCTGCTCTGTGATACAGAGTCCTGATGACTCCTAACTTGTGCTCTAGAGGGTGATGGGAGTCAAACCGCAAGTACTAGTCGGTGTGGGTGGGTTTGTGGTTCAATTCAGTTTCCAAATGTCCTCCATCAGAGACTGAAACCTCACAACCCAAGAAAGCCAACCTGCCATCTTTAACATCTTGTGTGAACTTGATGTATTTATCCACAGAGTTGATGTGGTCAGTAAAATGTTGGACTTACTGAGATTTAATTTTAACCCAGGTGTCGACAACATACCTGAACCAATGACTTGGTGGTGTCCCTGAAAAGGACGTCATGGCTCTCTTTTCTACCTCCTCCATGTACAGGTTGGCAACAATGGAAACTGGAGACCCCATAGCACACCCATGTTTCTGCCTATAATATTGCTCCCCATATGTGAAGTAGGTTGACTTCAGGCACAGTTTCAAGAGTTGACACAGTTGTTCTGTGGAAAGCGTGGTCCTGCTGCTCAGAGTGGTGTCTGATTTTAATCTTAAACTGACCACCTCTACTGCATCATCAACAGGAATGCACGTAAAGAGTGATGTGACATCAAAAGAGACCATTGTTTCATCAGTCTCCATGATGACATCCCTCACCTTTTCCACAAAGTCCATGGTGTTCTGTATGTGGTGTTCTGAGCTGCCAACTAAAGGGATGAGTACAGAGGCCAGATATTTGGAAACATTGTAAGTGACAGAGTTAATCATGCTAATGATTGGTCTTAAAGGTACACCTTGTTTGTGGATTTTAGGTAAACCATACAGACTAGGTGTGGCCTCCCCTGGGTACAGTCTGTGGTACAGAAAACGGTCAATAGCCTAGTCCTGCTCCAAATGTTTCAGACATTCTACAACTTCTTCTTGTAAACACTTCCTGGATCTCTTTTCAGAGGTTCATAAGTGGTTAAGTCACTAAGGAGTGTCATAACTTTCTCATGATAGTCTTTCTGGTTCAGAATCACTGTGCACCTTCCTTTGTCTGCTGGGAGAATGATGATGTTTTTGTCCTTGCTGAGAGTGGTGAGTGCATCCCTCTCCTCTGTACTGATGTTGTAAGGCGGTGGTTTGGCATTGCTGAGGCAGACTGAAACTTTGATTCTGAGTTGTTCTGCTTCACACTCTTTAATTTTGTTGTTGCAGATGGCTGATTCAGTGGCTGTGATCATCTCCACCAGAGGGATTCTTCTTCGCACAACCGCAAAGTTCAGTCCCCTGACAAGAATCTCTGTCTCCCTGGCGTGTGACTGTCTACCGATATGTTGTCTTCCATCAAAGGCATTGTTAGAATTGCACTGAGCTTGACGAGTTGCCAGTAAATTAAACTTTTTGTTGTTGTCGGGTCTTGGACTGGTCATGCTGTGCTAAGTGTACCTTTTATGTGAAATCCATCACTTACTGAAATGTGGTCTGCTTTAGGTCTGTTGTTATTTTTTGAAGGACATGATCTTCTTTGACCTCTAAAACTTCAATGGTGAAATTGGTCCGTCTCACCCATTCATTCAGCTGCTGGGTCTGTGCCTTCTGTAGGATCTTGCTTGCCTGGTGCCGACTGACTGAAGATTTGAGTTGCAAGCTCTTGGGAAAGGTGCCACTCTGTCTGCATCTGAGGTTGAATTTCCCTCTTCCTAGCTGTCTGCTCAAACACTTGAACCAGTATGAGGCAATCCTGGCCAAAGTGGTCCAGGGCCTGTCTTATGTGCATGTAAACATCTAGTTTTGGCTGTCACCAGCAAACTGGTTGATCCACTTTGTGAAGATGCTGCTTATAAAATTGAGTTTGCTTGCAGCTCCTCAGACTGAAGAAGTCTTTTGGATAAAAGATGAAAAGTTTCAACAAAAAAGGACCTGTCCAGAGGATCTGACTCAACCTTGCTAGATTTATTTACCTGGATTTTGAGCATGCATCAGGACAGATATTGTATAGATTCATTTTGGTTTTTACAATTTGCACCAGAGTGTTCAGACAATTTTTTGTTGTAAAAGTCAAACAACTCTTACAAGCATTTTGTTTAACTGAATAAAGAATGAAAGATTTCAAGGGAAACCATGGGAACCTATTCAATGTCAGCCCTACAGTCAAACATGGCGGTGGCTGAATCATTCTTCGGAGTTGCTAATGCAAATAAAAAATAATAATAAAAAAAAAAAATCCAAAGCCAAATAAATTCTCAGTGAAAACCCTTTTCAGAATACTCAGTATCTCAGAACATCCCAAGACTGATGCACTGATGTACCATGTTCAGCTTGACTGAGCTTGAAAAGACTAGACAGAGGCAACAACCACCATTGAGTCAAGTCACAGGTTTTCATTTTTGTTACCTGAAAATAAGATTATTCATTTAAACTAAAAATAAGCTTACATTTATTGTATATTTTTAGTATGTCCTGTTCATACTTACTCCACTGAGTCCAAGAATTCTTCCTGGTGGTCCAGGTGGACCAGGAGGCCCTGGAGGGCCCTGAGAAAAGGACAAAAAAGAATATAGTTTATATTTTCACATGAATTTAACAATGCAGTCTTGTAAGTTTTTAATTTTTTTACAAGAGTTTCAAACAGAGCTTGTGCTAACTGTTTTAATTTATTAGACGTTAATATTCATCATTTGATTAACAGGTGCATACATTTTAATTAAAATTAAATCTGACTTTTATAAAGACCTTACTTGTGATCAAAGAAAAACACAGTGATGAAAGTGCAAATATTTAAAGCTCTGTTTTATAATTCACTAATCAATGTGTATTTGATGAGTGAATTAGAACATTAAATGTTAGCAGTTCAACTCTTATTTTAGCAGTTTTTTAACTGAAGACTGTGCATGTGATTGTGTGAGTTCTGCTCGGTCAGCTCGCGCTCCCACAGTCAGACTCTCATTAGCCACACCTGTGATCCTGCGACTTGGTGAGCATGAGGAACATAAGAGGCTTCAGAAGACACTCATCCAGCACTGGAGCATTACCTGCCAAAGTAGTCTTGTTCTAGCCTTCTAATTGTGGTCCAAGCTAAATATTAATGACGTGCTTTTGACCGTGCCTCCAGTGAGTTACCTTTGATGTCCTGTGTTCCTGAAATCTCATCTGCAGACCTCAAGCTCCTCTGTGCTTCATCAGCTGCCTCCATGCCTTCCTACCTCTTGCCTTTCACCTGCAACTCTTCCACCTGGAACCATTTGGGTCTACTCTCCCCACACGTGACCTCAACCACCAACATAAGAGAGAACTACAATATCATTATTGCCCTTAACATCGACTCTTAATCTTCTCTCTGCTCCTCAGGGTTCCAGCCCCTCCCCTGGCTTATTGCTTATATCGCATCTTGTAAATAAACACTCTAGACTGATTCTGAGTCTTGGTCTTTGTTCTCACTGGTCCTTATATCTGGGTTTAGCCGCAATCATCACATTGATGTAGGTTCAAACTACAAACTATGTGAAAAGGTGATTATAGCCTAGCTGAATCACAAAAACACTGGTCATGTGAGTAGGCCTATCACGATAACAAATTTTGCTGGGCAATTAATTGTCTCAGAAATTATTGTGATAAACTGTAAGATTGTTTGAAATTTGACAATAATTAGTAATTGTTGTCAAATTTAAGAAGAAACATTTGTTAATTAGTTTTGCATGTAGTGCCTTTTTGACCATGGCAGTATAAGACTGTTTGAACCGAAGGATGGATAGTGAGGGAGCGAGCAGCGTGTCTCTTTAAGAAAAATGGGAGGGAGGCCCCTTGACGTGACATGGGCTGTCTTTCTTTGGTTCTCAAAATGGCGGATGCTCAGTGTGGTTTGAGCTCTTTAGCATTGCATTTTTCACACAAAGCTTTTAATAAAAAAATCAGTAAAGTTCTCAGCTTCTTATTGCAGAGAAAAACAACTTTTTACACAAAAGCATGGGTTTCAACTGTGAATTTTGGAGTTTCAACAAGATAGAGTTTTTTTTTCTCGAGGTCGGCCTGCTAGCTTAGCTCGTAGCTTAGCTTCTCAACTTAGCTGCTTTTAACGATCCAAAAACGTGATTTTGGACGTTTAAAATGGATTTAAAAGATAAAGGGAGGGGTCAGTGAAGAACACCAGAGTTGAGCCTTTTCTCATCCAGTGTCTTTAGTAGAAAGAGACATGAAGAAACGATAAAGCCGATAAATGAAAATGAGGTCAATAATTTTCATTAATCACGCAATTAAATGATTTATTGTTTATTGCGACAGGCCTACATGTGAGCTTTTTTTTTCTCCTTTATGTAGGATTAAAACTATTATTTATAAAAGCTAAAAGAATTTTTCTTAAATTTGGTGGTTTAAGAAGCAGTCTCCTCCTTGTTCGTATCCTCTTACCAGCATGCTGACAGACTCTCCTCTGTCACCTTTTCTCCCAGTCATACCAGGTCGCCCCTGCAGAAGGAAAAACAATAAAACCAGTACTGTATTTTTGCTATGGAAGTTTCCACAGAGCAAAATTACTTTTAGTATTATACAGCATTTGTCAATTTGTGAACTTGAACAGATTAAAGTACTCACTGGGCGCCCAGGGAAGCCGTACTCTCCCTTTTGACCAGGAGGTCCTTTTGGTCCCTGATACAAACAACCAGACAAACAATGACTGTCTGCTCTGAGGACATCAACATCACCATGGACGTCTTAGAAAACAATTTGTCAAAAATGTATTAACAGTGAGTTCAACACTTTTCTGCTTGTTCATTTTATATGAGCTCACCTTAAGTCCAGCAGGTCCTGGGAAGCCCCTGTCTCCCTGTAGAAAACACAAAGCAGCACCACAGAACATGAGATGATAGGGCAGATTCATCTGACAGGTGGGGAATAACAGCTTTCTTTTTGTGAAACAGTTATCCCTTACAGAAACAAACACAAACTTCAATAGTGAAAATCATGTTTTGACATGAAAACATGCAAAATGAAACTATCATTTCTTGACAAAATGCACGTTACCTCATGCTTTGCACCCCAAAGATTTAAGCAAATGATGCTGAATCTGTTAGTGCTCAGAGTATGTGTTGAGATGACTCTCAGCTGCTACCACTTTAAAGTTTAACTCAGTATCTGTAATTTGACTGCGTTATAGCAGTTTTGTGTTTGCTAAGGACCATTATCAGTAATGGCCATCTTGAATTTGGCTGACTCCAAAAGTTAATCAGTTGTGGGTATACAACCAATGATTAGTTTCTGAGAGTTTCAGTACAACCAGTTGAATTGTTCACACAACATTTTGTGCCATCAAGTTTACCAGTGTAAAAGAGTAGATTTACAAGAAACCAGCTGTGTTGCATGGTTTGTAGACTGTTACACTGACAAAGAGACAAGAGAGAGAACTGGAAGTGGCAGAGCTGATGATGTTGAGGTTCTCCTTAGGAGTGACAAGGACGGATAAGATTAGGAATGAGATCATCAGAGGTACAGCACAGGTTGAACAACTGGGGAATAAAGTTAGAGAGGACACACTGAGATGGTTTGGACATGTCCAGAGGAGGGACAGTGGGTATATTGGTAGGAGGATGTTAGAAATGCAGCTGCCAGGATAAAGACAAAGAGGAGATATATGGATGCAGTTAGAGAGGACATGGAGGTAGCTGGAGTGAGGACAGAGGATGCAGAGGACAGAGATAGAGGAGGATGATTTGCTGTGGCGACCTCTGAAGAGGGAACAACCAGAAGAAGAAAATTATTGTGATATTTTGCTAATAGACAAATGGGCAGACACATGGACATTTTTAATCAAACAGGTTAATTAATGTATTTTTTCTGTAATGTTACTGGCAATACAGTTTTAGACTAGTTCTTTATAATGTTTCTCCCTCTCTGTCCAACATACATGTTCCATATTCACATTTTGTAAAAGTCCAAGCTTTGCTGTTGTTATGACAACATGGTGTGGCCTAATAGATTTACCTTCTTACCACCACATGACTTAATGTTACCATGAACTAGAATTTGATCATTCAAATAAGACAAGACAAGACAAGTCAAGATAAGACAAGATAAGACAAGACCA